AAGTTGTCAAATTTATTTCAAAAAAGATTTTTGTAATATGCTTTCTATATCCTTTTAAATTCTGTAAAATCTGTAAAAAAAAAAAAAAAATTCTCCAAGCCAGGTGTGATGACGCATGCCTGTAATCCTAGTGCTCGGGAGGCTGAGGCAGAAGGATTAACATGAGTTCAAGGCCAGCCTGGGTTACATAGTGAGTTCAAGGGCAGCCTGCACTATAAAGCAAGACCCTGTCTCAAAAAACCAAAATTAAAATAAAATTCTCCAATTTCATATTCCTATTTTTTTAAAAAAACTATTTTGTAAGAAGCAGTATCAGAAATAACATCTTTTAATATCTAGGGGTTTTTCCCCCTGAATTCCATACCATGCAAGGAAAAGAATTTTAAGTAAATAAACCTTTTCTGCAGTAACCTCCAACAGAAAGACCCTGGAAGGGCATTGAGAGGGAAATATGCCAATTGACCCTGAGAAGAATAATCTGCAGAAATGATCATGCCTTCAGCTGTACCGTAACTTTTTGGAAATACAGAACTAAAACAAATGACCATAAATATATACAAAGTTGTCAAATGCTTTAGCACCTTGTGCTTCCCAAAGCAAAATGTCACATTATCTTTCTTCCTCTCCTCAAAGTGAGTTAGCTAGCATATTAAAAAATAGAATAAATTGGGCCGGGGATTTAGCTCATTGGTCTGCCGCCTGCCTCACAAGCGCAAGGACCCGAGTTTGATCCCCGGTACCAAAAACAAAAAAAAATAGAATAAATCAAAACATTCAGGAAAGCACCTTCTAGAAGTTCTTGGAATTTAGTGAATCACAACTAGCTTACTATATTTACCTAAAACTATTCAAAGATTAATAACTATGGGCTGAGAATATAAGGCAGTGGTAGAGTACTTGCTTGCATACATGAGGCCTTGCGTTCAATTCCTAGCATTGCCAAAAAAAAAAAGTCAATAAATTCACATTTACTTATAATTATTACAAACTTACTTTTCACCACCTCTTCAATCAACAATACTGGTCAGGTAGAAGGTGATGAAAGTGATTCAGAGATTCAGAGTAATAAAGACTAGAAGAGACCCTAAGAAGTCATGAAAACAAACTCTTCTAGAGCCTTACTGCCTTTTTAAAAAAAATTTATTTATTTTTGGTACCAGGGATCAAACTCAGGACCTTGCACTTACCAGGCAGGTGTGGTGCCACTAAACTACATCCCTGGCCTGGGAATGAAGCTTAGTAGTCCCTGGATTCATTCCCCAGTTCCACCAAAAAAAAAATATATATATATAATGATATATAAGATATATATCTTATATTCTGCAACAGAGCATAAAAATATATTTTTAGGGGGGTGCTGGGGATTGAACTCAGGACCTTGCTCTTGCCGGGCAGGCAGCAGAACCACTGAGCTAAATCCCCAGCCCCAAAAATATATATTCTTAATAAATAAAAAGCTCAAATTTTATTTTCAAAGTATACAAAAACCATAATAAATAGGCCAACAACAAAGGATATACATACCCTCAAAATATGACAGTCTATACAGAAAATTTAAATAGCTTAATAATCAATCCAAAATGTTCACTCTCACTAATAATGCCAGATACTAGATAACACATACTTAGTAAATTAGATACCATGTTCGGTCTACCAAATTAACACAAACGTTGCACCCCATAGACTGTACACAATGCTAGTAAGGGCCTGTACTTCAAGCAGACTGCTGATGGGGTGAAAACTGGCACACCTTTTCAAGAAAGCTGGTTTTTTATTTTTGTTTTCTGGTTTCTTTTGCAGAACTCAGGGCCTTCACACTCAGCTACATCCCCAGCCCTTTTATTTTAATTTTGAGACAGGCTCTCTGTAAGTCACTAAGTTCCCCAGGCTGGGCTCAAACTGTGATCTTCCTGCCTCAGCTTCCCAGAGTGCTGGGATACAGTAGTGTGCCACCATGTGTGACTCAAGAAAGCATTTTAGTAAAATATTTTAAGAACCTTAAATATATTCCTAAGTTTTTAATCTAATAAATCTATTTCTGAGAATCTTTTTAAAAATTCAAATGAAATAAAAATTTTATATACAAAGATGTTCCCAAAATGTTATCTTACAGTGAAAAACTAGTACTACAAATATCCAACCAAATATTTAATCCAGAAACATTAAATAATATCTGTCTGTACAAAGAAATATAATATAAATAACATTCATGAAGAATTTCAAATGACTTAGAAAAAAATCTTGTGCTACAAAATTAAGTGAGAAAACTATCTCTGGTAGTTTGGTGGTGTCCAGGGTGGAGAACTAGATTAGTAACAGGAAAGTATGAACTTTTTCAAAAATTTTTTAATTAAAAACATTTGGAGGGATTGAGGGTATAGCTCAGTGGCAGAGCACATGTTTGCATGTCCAAGCCCCAGGTTCAATGTCCACCATCAAAAATAAAAGATAGCGCTGGGGATTTAGCTCAGTGGTTCCGCTGCTTGCCCTGCAAGAGCAAGGACCCGAGTTTGATCCCCAGTACCAAAAAAAAAGATAAAAATATGTGGAAAAGACCAGAAGAAATTGTGCTAAAATGGACCACCTCTGAATGGAATATAACAGTATGGTTTTGCCTTCTTCTTTATACTTAACTGTACTTGCCAAAGAGTCTAAAATATACACTATTTTTATAACCAAAAGTCTTAAGAAACTTCCAGTAAGAAGGAACTAGCTACCTTTTAAGGTAGTATTCCGTTCTATCTTGGGGTACTTGACTTTTAGAAAATTCTCTTGTTATATGATTGCTCTTTGTAGCTACTACTCAAAAAATCTATCAGGCAAAACCAAGCAAATATAATACTCCAATAATTTACTCTTCTCCATGACAAAAAGTCCCTGCTATTCCTCCCCTCAATAATGAAACTTTAGGGTTCAATCTTCAGCACACTTCAAAGCAAAAAAAAAAAAAAAAATTCAAAGGAAAAGGGGCAGACTGAGTGCTTATTATTTTCTCATTTCATCTCCACAACGAACAACCCTTTGTTTGAGACAGGGTCTCACCATGTAGTCCAGGTTGGCCTGAAACTCACAATGCTCCTCCTGCCTCAGCCTCCCCAGTGTGGGATTACAGGCGTGCGCCACCATGCCAGGATGGACAATCCCACTTTAGAAATTAATTTAGATAATAAATAGCCTTTCAAATGTTATTTTAGCCCCTACCTCTTGAAAAGTACCTTCCTAGATACCTACACCTCCTCCCCCAAAAAAAGTTTTCAGAGGGACTCTGTGCTTTGGAACTATATGTGTGGATGCTGAGGCCACCTTAATGCTGTACATAAGGATAAGGATAATCCTACATGACAGCACGATACGCAGGAGCCAAAGGAAGAGGTGAAATAATGTGTTTTCAAGATAGGACTATCTTTATTCTCCGGAGTTTCAACTCCCTCCAGTGGAAGTTTGGAAACCTCACCTATCTTTCTGCAGCGAAATTAACAAGGAGTTTTCTTATAAACACACTGAGTTTTCTGGATTGGAGAGGAGTTCCCTCCCAGTCCAGCAGGTACCAAATAGGCTCGCTAGAAAGAATGAAGCAATTTCCAAAAGAAACCTAATCGCTGCTTAATGGCATTTGTATCTTTTTTGAGGAACTAAACTACAATAACTCCAGGTCGGTTCTATAGGGCTGTTAGGATCAAGGCTTCAAAATAGCATAAGATACTAAGATGACTGCATTTCTGTGAACTCTGAGGATCTACTGAGCCGCCCGTGCCCTGACAGGTATCCTGACAGGTATCCTGACAGGGATAATGAGCTGTTTGCTACTTTGCTGAATGAATGGGGTGCTCCCGGTCGAGGCAGCTCCGCCAGCCCGGAATGGTCCCTGGACCTTTTTCCCTTTAACCTAGAACGCCAGGAGACCCCAGGAGCGCGACGCAGCCCCCAGGACCGCTTCTCACCCAGCCCAAGTCTCCCTTCCAGAGTCCGCCAAAAGGCTCAAGGCTCCTCCCCACTCTGAGAGCTCCCCTGAGCATCCCAGAACGCTGACCCCTCCCTCAGTCCCGACACCCACACGTGGATGCAGCTTCCTTCGCACCCCGAGGCCCTCGAAAGATGCGCCGCCCCTCCGGAGAGAAACAGACCGCGCCCCCCGGGACAAGCCCCACTTTTCAAAAAATACCCCCTCGGCACCTGCCCTCTTGACAGATGGTGCCCGGGTGATACCTGAGCCGCAGAACAAGCAGCCGGAGAGGACCAAGAGCAGCCTCATTATCCCACTCCCACGGGATCCCCAGCTCCAGAGCCCAGAACCAACTGCCGGCGACACCACCACTTTCATTCCTCCCGCCATAGTTGCCTCACACCGCCTCCTCCTCACGTGCCTCTCCCCGGCAACTAACCCCAGACAGGCAGCGACGGCAGCCAATCCGCTACAAGACCGGTCCCTACAGGCCAACCGGGCAAGGGGAACTTCCAGTGTTCGTCCCCCCCCGGAACCCTACAAGTCCTACCCCTTAGCAACTGATGAAGGAAGGCGGGAGAGGCAGCCGTTAGCCAATTAGAAAGTGGATTCTCACCGCGCCCTAGCAGTGGCGACAGGAAGATCCCACCCCTTGACAACACGCTTCCGTCCCGAGTTTATTTACAAGCACGATTGATAGTAAGTTTAACCAATAGAAAATCAGAATAGGCGAGGCTTCCTGGACTAAACTTGGTTATTTCCATTGAACCTGTCTCAAATTCCGTCTGTTTTCTTTCCTTTTTACTACATCTTCCTGTTACAGGAACCCTGTCATTGGCTGGGGATTTAGCACAATGGCACCGTGCCTGCCTTGCAAGCGCAAGGTCCTGAGTTTGATGCCCAGTACTGCAAAAAGAAAAAACAACAACAGAAAAAGGAACCCTATCATTGAGATCTCTTCATGAATAGAGTCTTGACATGACTATTTTTATTTAAACCATTGACAAAGTGTGGTCCTCCAAAGTCCAAATGACAAAAGTCACAAAAAATGTATGTTGTCAGGGATTTACAGGCATAAACATTAGAGTTTTAAAATGTCATAAAGCCGGGCACACGGTGGCACAAGCCTGTAATCTTAGCACTCTTGGGAAGCTGAGTCAGAAAGATGACAGCTTCCAGCCCACCATGGACAACATGGAGACTTAATGAGACCCTATCTCAAAATAAAAAATGAAAAAGGACTGGGAGTGTAGCCTTGATGTGAAGGTCCTGGGACCAATCCCTAGTGGGGGGGGGGGGAGGCCGGTACTCAGGAGACTGACGCAAAAAAATTGAAAGTTAAAGGCCAGCCTGGGCAACACACTAGAACCCTGTCCCAAAATTTTAAAAATTTAAAGGGCTAAGGGTGTAGTTCAATGGTAGAGTGTTTGCCTAGCATTGTAGTGTGAGGCCCTAGGTTTAATACCTATCATTGGGAGGAAAAAAATAAAAGGATTCATTCTTTCTGGTGTGTGTGGAGACTGAATCCAGGACGTTTACACTGAGTAACTTTTCTGGCCCTGTATTTATTTTTTATTCTGAGACAGGATCTCCCTAAATCACTAAGTTACCCAGGCTGGGCTCAAATTTAGGGTCCTTCTGCTTCAGCCTCCTGATACAGGAAATGATACCAGAGATGAAATATGAAATATTATGTCTCCCAACCTGTTAGATGTCCGATACGCCGAGCTCACATTCTCGTGCCCAGTGTTTGTCCTTTGAGGAAGTACACAGGTCTAGTCATCTGGTCTTTATCTTGAGGCCCAGTCTCCAACAGATGTGTCTCTGGCCACAGCTGTGATGTGTTTCACCTTTGTCCTGACTCTCTAGAGGACCTAGCCCTATTTGACTGCCTATAATATTTCTACCTAACTCAGCTGTCTATAATACCCGCAGAGTGCTAGGATTACAGGCATGTACCACTAAGCCTGACAAGTTTATTATCTCTATTGAAGAAGCCCAGGCTAATACAGACAATGGAACCTGCACAAGATTGCTTATTTAGTTCTTTTGTGCTGCCTTCCCAACCCAAGTTTTATCACAAATCCTAAGATCTTTCAGTGCCATCAGGTTGCTTCTTCTCAGTTGCTTCTCAGTTAAATGACTTAACACTGTGAGGATCTAGCAGAATGTTTATAACACTACTAGCAGAAATTGAAGTATCTCCCAAACACACACAACCCCAGAGGAGTTGATGATGGTGAGTAGCAAGACTAGGGACAAAGGATCTAAGTGAATTAAGGAGAAATCCAGGGACAGGTAACTTCCGAGAAATGTTCAAACTTTCAAAACAAGGAATTTTTAGAGCTGGCTGTAGTGGCACACATCATTGTAATTTCAGCACTCCAGAGGCAAAGGCAGGAGCATCACACTGAGTTCAAGGCCAATTTGAGCTACATAGTAAGATCCTATCTCAAAGAAAAAGACAAGAAACAAAAAACAAAAAAAAAAAAACAGGAATTTTTTTAAAAAGTCATAATGGGCCCAAGCTTTGGCAAAAGAAATTTTATTCTTGTAAAGTCTAGGCCAACCATGTTCCAATGGTCAGCCTATATGTCTCACAGACATAGTTCCTTGGCCCACATAGAGAAGTCAATATCAACAGTAATAAATCATGTTGACACTACATGTACACTTGATATCATGTAATGAAAATGGCATTTTACTTCCATGGTTTTCCTCTTCAAAATCCATAAAAGCAGTCTAAACATAAGAAAAATAACCTCAAACTCTAACATCCTGGGCCAGGGATTTAGCTCAGTGGTTCTGCCACCTGCCTCCAAGAGCAAGGTCCCCAGTTCGATCCCCGATACAAAAAAAAACCTCTAACATCCTACAAGGCATCCTACAAAATATCTGACCAGTGCTCTTCATCATGCCCAGCTCAAGATCATCGAAAACAAGGAAAGTCTAAGAAAATGTCCCAGAAAAGAGAAGCCTAAGGAGGTATGACAACTAAATTTTTTTTTTTTTGGTCCTGGGGATCAAACTCAGGACCTTGCGCTTGTGAGGCAGGCAGTGGCACCACTGAGCAAAATCACCAGCCCCATGACAACTACATTTAATAGGGTAGGTGGGTGGGATCCAGGAACAGGAAGGAAAAAAAACAGGTAAAGGTAACTAAGAAAATCTGAATAAACCATACACTTTTATATGATTAATGGTTCATTAATGGTGGCAAATGTAGCATACTCGTAATTTTAGTATATGTGCTGCCAAAGTGAGCACTATACTCATGTAAGATAATAATAGGGGAAATTGTATATGAGATATATGGGAACTTTATATTATCTTTTCAATGCTTCTGTAAATATAAAACTTTTAAAAAGTAAAGTCTAGGTTTCGCCACTTGCTGCTCAAGCGCAAGGACCCGAGTTCGATCCCTGGTACCAAAAATAAAATTAAAAAAATAAAAAGTAAAGTCTAGATGCAAAAAAAAAGAAATTTAAACTCTAAAAAGTAAAGTCTAGGGCTGGGGATGTAGTTCAGTAGCACAGAGCCTACCTGGCATGTGTGAGGCCCTGAGTTCAATTTCCAGTACCAAAAAATAAAAAATTTAAATTAAAAAATTAAAAGTAAAATCTAGTTATAGGTGTATATATGTGTGTGCGTATAACATATATACAAACATATAATTACATTTACACATACTCTTCATTTTTTCTTCCAGGCCCCATTCTTACCATTCAAAGCTAATTTCACATTGGGAACTCATTGCAGAAGATCACTGACACAATTTTTTTTTGTTTGTTTTTGTTTTTTGAGACAAGGTTTCACTATGTAGTTTGGGCTGACCTTGAGCTCACTATATAGCCCAGGCTGACTTGAACTCACAGCAATCTTCCTGCCTCAGCCTCTCGAGTGCTGGGATTACAGGCATGCACCACCACACCCAGTTTGACCCGATTATTAAAATGAGTATACAGTAATGAAACTAGGCACCCACAAATGGATCACATCTATTGCCCAAATTAGTGCTGTCAATTCAACATAGTAATTCAAGAAGCTTTTAGTCTTATTTTAATGAGTGCCAGGAATTTAGTTCAGTGGTGCAGCACCTGCCTCATAAGCACAAGGTCCTGAATTCGATCACTGATACCAAAAAAAAAAAAATAATGAGTGCACTCCTCAAAACACTCTGAGAATCACCTTCAGAGTGCATACAGCACACACTGCAATATTCATTATCTGCAGGTGGATCTGATTTATGTAAATAGCCAAAAGAACTCCAGCCAAGGCTGATGATTAAAGAGGCTGGAAATCTGGATGGTAAATGTGTTTCAGAATTTGTTTGGATTTTAGAAAGATAATATGGTGCACATATACTACGTTAAGGCAATAATCCCAATAGAAGCTAGGACAGCACCTAGTTACCAAGCAAACTAATCCTTCTGTAATGACATATATGAATAGTAGTATCAAGATAAGTGAAAAAAGGATAAGTGAAAATAACTGCATATAATTTTAGGTCAGGTTCTCTGCCACAAAATAAGTCTAGGTCAGATTAGCTTGTGGTTTTGTTTTGTTTTCTTCCCAGTGCAGGAGATTGAACACAGGGCTTTGTACATGCTAGGCAAATATTCTGCCACTGAGCTGTGCCCAGACCAGAATAGGTTTGTTGCCAAATAAGTTATGAAAAAGCTTTTGGTTTCCATAATTTTTTGAATATAAGAAGTATAAAGAACTGCAGGCTGTTAGCCAGGCATGGTGGCACACGCCTGTAATCCCAACACTCGGGAGGCTGAGGCAGGAGGATCACCACAATTTAAGGCCAGCCTGGGCCACGTAGTAAATCTAAGGCTAGCCTGCACTACATTGCAAGACCCTGTCTCAAAAAAACAAAAAACGGGGCCGGGGATTTAACTCAGCCTCCTGCCTCACAAGCACAAGGTCCCAGTTTGATCCCTGGTGCCAAAACAAACAAACAAACAAACAAACAAACAAAATAACTGCAGACTGTGAATATTTGAGGAAGACAATTTAGCCAACCAATAACCAAGTTCAATTGATTTTTCTATCTTATAAATCTATCCTTTCCTCTGCATCCCATACCACTGACTTTGCCCAGCACCTAGCTGGTAAGGTTCAAGGTCTTTTAATTTCCTTAATCTGGACTCTCTGTTGTTTACACCGTCTACAAATCCTTCCTCCACTCTGCTCCTAAATGCAGATCTGACCCTGTCACTCCCATATTAGTCTTTAAGATTCTAAGAGTATCTACATGATCAAGCCCAGGATTCTTAGTATGACCTAAAACATAGATATAAACATTGTAACAGCACTATTGAAAGTCTGATACTATTTGATGCTTTGTGTGATACTAGCCTTCAATGAAACAATCTCCAAAT